GCATGACAGAAGCTGAAAGATATGACACTCGATGGATGGTACATCTACATCCACATCTTGTGCAAATATTGATCAGAACTTACTCGCTAAATAAAAGGCATACCCTTATGAAACGTGTGATTTACTGTGCTCAACTCTTCTAGTGAATGTAACAAAAACAATACTTGAATTACGGCTGCTGCATGACAAAAGCTGAATGCTACGAGTCGCGATGGAAGGTGCATTAATAAAACTTGTGAAATATTGATCATAATTTGCTCTTTCAGGCAAAAAGCATAGCCCCATGAATGCCTCTGAAACTGTGGGCCAACTCCTCTGTGGATGTGACAAAAACAAAACTTGCAACTTGAGTTAGGGCCGCCGCATGACAAAAGCTGAATGCTTCAAGACTCAATGTAAGGTACATCAATAAAACGAATTGCTCGTAATAGTCAGTTTTTATTACGAACTTATGGCTATAAATTGACCCATACTACATTACACTATAAATTGACTTGGCTTAATTTCAGCTTATTATTATGCAGTTGCCTTAGGTGAGCCAGGCTCAAAGTGAGTCTCGTATTTACATAAGCATGGCATGGCTCTGGGCCATCTTTCAGCTGGCTTTTGCAGCACAATGCGCACTAGCAAGTTCTCTCATGCGACAAGTTTGCACAATTTGCTGGCATTATTTATTAGATGGCCCCGCTGAAAGCCACCAGGCGGCATTAACGGCGTGTAAATGGGCCGAAAGACCACTTGGCTTGGCTGGGTATATGCGAATGAAAAGCTGAGGCGAGTTGACTCCACTCAACTCGACTCGAGTGCAGCATGGTCAGCGTCAGCTGGCTGCCTGCGGCGCATTTGATTTATGCCACACAAGTGTCAAAAAATGTCCTGTTGCACACACGCGTTGCGTTGCATAGATTTTAGGCAAAGATACGAGTCTGCATTGACTATCTCTCTCTCACTACTCACGCCTGTCTCCCCCTTTTGTCAGTCGCATTGCATTGCATATTCGGCCATTAAAAGGCTGAATTGTTGACAACGCATTTGCAGTCGGATTTCAATTTGCTGCGATTTTCAGTGATTGTGTCAGCAGCTATTGCGATTCGCCAGTAAATCGCATAAATTGTGTCCAGCTAACAAATTTGCGGCATTATTTAATGCCAGATGTAGATTTGTCACAGATCTATAGACAAATGTATGTATACGCATGCATATATAGTAGTCGCTATATAGTTGTATTATGACCATGCAAATGCATTTGAATTGTCGGCAATCGGTATGCAGCTACATGAATTCAATAATCCTAACAAGGTCAAGACAATCAATTGGGTACTAGAGCCAAAGATTATCCCAAAAAGCAACTAATTTTACTTGACATGCAGCTAATCTCTAATCGGTAGAATGAAGACGAGCGAGAATATGATAAGGTTCATTAAAAGCGTTATTTAGAGCATATGCAGAGGACTTTTAAAGAAGCTACTTGTACTTTTTGTAAAATTTTTAGAGCTTCTTCAAATTTACATGATTTATTGATATATATTATATAAATAAGTCCTAACATATATTCGTATTTCCAAGACAGATAAATAAGGTATAAAATAGTTATTAATTTAGTTCATTTCTTTATATATTTTACGCCTGCAATAATTAAAGGAGCCAATTAATTGATAGTTGTTTATCTGAATTAAATTTCCAAACGGAATGGCAATTGACAAAATAAGACCGAGCCTTGTACTCCGTCGGGCTTTACAACTGAGTTACTTCAATGTAGAGCAGAGGTGGAACATGATACATACAGCCAGTCAGTTCAAGGCGTTGGCCATTGCCCCACAAAGATCATATGATCGATATTCCTGGTAAAATACGAATACATGCTGTGCTTCGGGAAACACTTCATGCTGAGTCAGAAAACTCTGAACATACTTGGAGTATTCAGCATAATTATTACACTATTTGCACTAGCCGAATAGGACTATTGTTAGACTATTGAAACACCTTTCAGGGTCTCGTCAATTATGCTTATATATATTAAGTATCAGGGCTCATACAAATTTCGGAGATTAAAAAAGTTATTATAAAGTATTGATCATCTAGAATAATCAATTTCATGTTTATAATCGAACCTCTCTTCTACTCATGATTAGAGAAATAGAACAATTATTTGTGTATATATGTTACTTCCGACTACATCCTACATCCACACTATTTTTACTTTCGTCTAGCCAAAATTAGCCAAGCTACTCAAATCGTAGTTCCCTTCATGAATATATTCTCTATATTACAATTTGAGATATCAATAAAATATCAATCTGCTAATAAAGCGCTCATAAATCTCACATGTTCACATACATATATAATATATACATTTTTCTTTTAAATGCTCTAAATAAAAATCGAATTCTTCTAGATCTAAACAAATTGCCGCTGTCTAATACCCTAATTATAATAGCTTTATAATAGCACCCGGCCAGCCCATCATTGACAGCCAATTGGGCGCGCGTGTCGCCGCCAAATCGAGCTGCTCTGCTCGTCTGCCTCAAAGGCGAGCAACGCTGCCAGGAAACAACTCAAATGTATACATACATACATACAAATATATATAAAAAAAAAAAAGAAAAACAAAGAAAACATAAATAAATATTTATGTTTTTATGTTTCCATAGCAAACAAATTGGTTGAAAACAAAAAGGAAAACAACACTGAACAGATCCCAGTAAAAGCTTCCACAGAAGCCAAGTGTGAAAATATCGCAACTCGAGAGATTTGCATAGAGATAGGTATATAGAGATACATCTAGAGATCTATACAGATCTTTTAAGATCTATGAAAAGTAAAGAAAAAGTTCACCCACACAATTTCACATGTTTTTAATGGGCTTCGTGTGGGCCATATAACTGGCTAATGAACTATAGTGCAAGATCTGAAAATATATGTATAAAAAATCTGTAAAACACAAATTGTAGGGTATACAATGTGCATAGCAAACCAAATGCTACCTTTGCTTTGTAAATTTTAACTTGAAATAAATTTTTTGTTCGGTTCGTCTTGCGATTAAATTTTATAAAAAGAAAATTCAATAAAAAAAACGCGAGGAAAATTAAAAAATTTGCCACATGACGCAATTAAATTGTGTTTGCTAGCTGCCCAGTTGGCACAGGTTCTATCTCTCTCTCTCTCTCTCTCTCTCTCTCTCTCTCTCTCTCTCTCTCTCTCTCTCTCTCTCTCTCTCTCTCTCTCTCTCTACATAGATATAGACATATATAGTCTATGACACTGGCCAAGGCCATTTCTGATGATTTGTGGGCGCTGTGGGGACTGTGAACCCGTTGAAACTGTCAGCACAATTTTTAATAAACGCATTTTGGGACAGATGCGAAAGGCGCTGTTGCTATTGATTAAGATCGCCGTCGATGACGCGAATGATGATCATTATCGGCATGTAGCGAAACTCATACATATATATATAAAATAT